TATTTCTCACTGCTGTCTCACTATAACAAATGCCCAAACAAAATCATTTTAAACTTGAGATACTGTTCCATATTTAAAATGCACATTTTTTATTATGTTTTCTGGAGACAAACTTAATTTTGAATATAGATCACGTGACTTTAATATCTGCAGGACACTTCTAATTATAGCTGCTGGTGTCCTTCTTTACCTTAATAATTATGTGGCATGGAAAATAAGAAATATAATAGTTTATTATGTTCAAGAAAAAGTTGACCAGAATGGTTAGTGTTCGTGCCATACAGGAGAGAAGGACAGCAGTTCAAGTCCCGCTGATGGGTGTGGGTTTTCTCCAGGTTTTCCAGCGGTCACAGAGTCCAGAAACATCAGGCTCAGGTCATCTTAACACTCTGACCTTAGGTGTGAATGAAAGTGTGAACGGTTGTCGGTTTAACTCTCAGGGGTGATTTTCACTTTATGGAAAAAATAATTTTTTTTGTGATTTTTACAAATCCTGGGATATAGATATGATTGACAGGTAAAGCTATGTTACAGTGGATTTATGTTAATGTGTTTTTAATGACGTTTAAATTTGTGGGAAAAAGATTGATATAAAATTTAACCCCTTCCGTCCTGTAATTTTCAAAATACATCAAGCAGGCCATATTTAAATCCCAAGTGGACCGGTTTTGGCCTGTGGGCAGTATGTTTGACACACCTGGTTTATATGCATATATATTTCTTATGTCTTACGTGCTACCTGCTACTATCCCACCTGCAGACTATGTCTTTGTCATCCCGGTGGAAGTGGACTACGATGGGAGTTACCTGACCCACGATGTCTCCAGGAAGAGCCATCGTGTCAGACGGTCTGTCTCTTCTCTACTGCACTATCGCCTGTCTGCATTTGGGCAGGACATGCACCTGGACCTGCGTCCGTCTTCTGTGATTGGACCGGGTTTCACTGTGCAGACCCTGAGCTCAGACGGCACCACAACAGTGACGGGGGACCCAGGGTTGAACAACTGCCTCTATCAAGGATACGTCCGGAACCTTTCAGCCTCGTTGGCAGCCATCTCCACCTGCTCTGGACTGGTGAGTACTGTCCACCTGCTCTGACAGCAGTCCTGTGTCTGGGTTACGAGTTTTGGCAAAAATGTAAAAAGTTGTGAGCACACTGTACCTTAGAGCACATAGAAAACATCTAGATTCCTGTGCATTCTGACTGATGCTCCACAGCAATTTTTAAAAAAAAATTAAAAAAGTTGTGAGCACACTGTAGCTGTGCATTCTGACTGATGCTCCACAGCAAATGGTGGTGCTGTCATGTTTCTGTTTTCTTGTTTTACTTTTGTACACCATGTTCAGTAATAGCATCATTGTGCTGATGCTTTATTTTCAGATCTTCTATTGCTCAAAATGCGAAGTTATACCATGGCTGTTCACAAGGGCATGAAACAAAATACATAGTTAATATCAGTTTACATTTAGATCAATATTGAATTGATATTGGATCGAATTGTGAGAAGTTGAAGTTCATTTTTCACAGACATAAAAACATTTTGCTTTCATGTGTTTTTCAAGTTTAAAGTCAAATATAAACATTTTGCTCCCTTGTGTTTTTCAAGTTTAAAGTCAAATATATTGTCGCCCATTCACCTAGTATTCCAGTTGATACTTCTGTGGTATTTGACCTTTGAATGTCGGGAACTGAACTTCCTGCAGGGACATAGACCTGTACGTTGTCTGATGCATAGAGTTTGTTGACGATCCCTAACGTTAGTGTTTACATTTTCTCCATCCATACTTTAATCTCAACACGTCCTTAAATCCCTCTCTCCTCTCATGACCCAGTTGTTTTGATAAGACACAATGTACAGTGGACTGTGCCAGAATGATGACATCATCGACCATGAGTGTGAGCATCAGTTACTGCTGCTTTGTTCAGACCCTGTGTGAACATTAGTGAGACGTGAATAGATAAAGGGTTGAAGGGTGAGAAGGAAGGAGGTTCACAGGAAAACACCAATCTGACACTGCTGCGCAGTATCACCTCGGTGCAGTACTCACCTTAGTATAGTACTTACATCAATACAGTATCACATTGGTATAGTATTACCTCAATGTAGTACTTACCTGTGTCCAGTATCATCTCAATATAGTACTTACCTCAGTACAGTATCACATCAGTATAGTACTCACCTCAGTATAGTATCATCTAAGTATAGTACTCGCTATACTCAGCTGAGGACACATTACAAGACATTTACCAGATTTTACCCATAATTCCCATAATTTAACATGTCTGCACCAGTCAGGATGGTTCCTTGGTTAACAGGTCTGCACCAGTCAGGATGGTTCCTTGGTAAAAACTGTAGTCATCAGTCCACCACACCATTTGTTCTCCTGTATCTGGACATAACCAGGTCTGTGTTAATTCTGTCTGTAAAATAATTCTTCAGAGTACACAGACTGCTTCATATACAGAGTACACAGACTTCTTCATAGAGTCCTCCAGCCTGGAGCAGACACTCTACGCTCTATGAACACCCGACCTCCATTCGTGGTAGAACTTCTTAAACCTGCTCCTCCTCCTCCTCCTCCCTCTCCCTCTCCTTTGTCTTCTCTTTAAGTCTTTTCTTGTTGTCGTCAGTTTAAAACCAGCTGAAGTTGGAGCTCCTGGCTGAGACCGCTAATCTTTGCATTGTCCCTTTCAGGGGAACAAGCTTCCCCTAATAACAAAACCCCATTGACTCTCCATTGACTACGAGGACTTAGTGATTGGCTCATGACTGCATTTAAATGAGCCTGACTGAACCCTTTGATCCATTTTTTTATTTGTCTTATCATTGTCTTGTGTCTTTGTTCTTTTTTCTTTTCTCTTCAAAATCAGTCTTCAGTCGGTCTGACATTGACGATAAGTCCTAATTAACTCCAACTGAGACAGAAATAAAGCTGCGATTTTTATTCCCATTTTACAAAATTACCAGAACGTGTCTCATACTCTGACGTACATATTTATTAATGTTGTCCTTATAAACACATTAATATGTTTCGTGATAATTTATCCAAAATAACAGTTGACACCTGAACAACAAAAATAAGTGATTTAAAAGACAAGTACCACCTGCCCCCTGCTGGCTCTGTTTCCCACTGATGAATATTTTATTTAGACCACATCCTGATCACTCGCAACAAAAATGTAAAAAAGAACATTTCAAGGAGACGATAAAAACCTTGGTGATGCTTTAAGGACCAAGGACTTTCTGTGAGCCTCCAAAACAGACCGAGGAGATTCATTATGAGTTATTTTGTAAGGGTCTCCTGCTTATCGCCACTCTGAGTCTGGCACTTCCTCCATTAGGAGAAGAGAAGTGTTCTCAGTCTGTGTTTGTCCTTCAGCCTGTTTTTCTACTTTACAAGGTAATTGCTGTCAAATAGTCTGAAAATGGAGTGGCTCTAAATGCTGCGGCCGCTGCTCGCTCTCTGTGTTTACTGTAAGTGTCTCTCGACCATCGCTGGTCCGTTACAATCATCCGTTAGAGTTTAGTGTTGTGTGAAGACAAGTGGTGGAATCGATGCAGAGCCGTTGTGAGTTTGTTGCATTGACTTTACCCTGAAACACCGAGAGTCGGTTCTATCACAACACTTTCATTCTGCTGTGCATTTTTAGGGTTGATATTTTTGCAATATTCAAACATACAGTTAAATAGAGATCTAATGATGCAACTCACGATACGTAGTAATTCACATTTTCTTTGTTCAAGATACGATTTTATCTTGATTTTCTTTTTTTTAAACAAAAAGACCTCCAGACAAATTTTGACCAAATACAATGATCCTTTATTTGTAAGAACTCCAAAAGAACATTTTTTTGTTTTATTAAACATAAATCTGTAAATTTACAATTGACAGTGTATATAGTTACTAGTATCATTTTTTCTATATGATTTGTTCAAAATATTTTCTACATATTTTTTACAAATTAGTAAATACATTTCTTGAAATGCTCCAACAATTTCTATGGCACACATTAAGACATACGATCTAAACATATGTAACAGACGTCGAGTGCATTTCACATGTGGCGGCTTCAGCAAAGCTAAAAACAAAGGCAGCTGTAAACAGCTCATAATATTTAGATTTGACAGAACGAAGGGCCAATCGGCTCCATGCAGCGCAGCTGGGGAGATTACCTTTGGGGTTGAGCCAATGCAAAAAAGGGAAGAAGTCGGGAGAAAGTGAGAAAAAAAGAAGATTAGATGTTGGACGAAGAAAAGGAAAAGCAAAACAGGGAAGTAATCTGTAAGGAGCGAGATGGTTGGAGCCAACGGGGGGTGTGGAGTGCTCTGAAAGAATAATGGGAATTCATTGTCCTGGGTGGAAGCTCCCAAGGAGGCTGGATGGTCTCTTTATAGAGAGTTTAGGAGATAGATTTAGTTTATGTCAAAGAGCTTTGGAGAAGAAATGGAGTGAGAGAAAGAAAGAAAAATTGCTTTCTGTGTCTTTACGTCATCGACTCCTTTTAACAGACACGGGGTAAAAGGAGAACGGGGAAAAGAACGTGTCTGAAATAAAGGTCTTGGACTGGACCCTGCCTGCTAATGGCTCAGAGGTGTCAACACCAGCTACTGGGCCAAACCAGGACCAGCCTGTTTTAGACATTCATCCAGGTCTGGGCCAAGCACTTGGAAGCAGGGGGTGTAGTTGATTGGATTGAGGAGAGTTGGCTAGAATTGGAAGGCGATTAGGACGAACAGACGAAGAGGGGTTTCCAACTGTAATCACCGCACACGCTGTTCCTGTCTGTCTTTTAATCACAGATATCCTTATTAAGCCCTCGTATCAGGATACAAGATTTTATCAGTCACATAATCAGTTGGTGCGTAACCCTGAGTCACTCCAAAGACTGTGTATATTTTAGATATTCGCCAATGATATTCGCCAATGATATCATAATATTTAATAAATAAAATATTAAATATTATGATATATAATACAGTTCCATCCATCCATCTACACGGTCCGTTTACTTATTGTTACGAGATTTTCCCTGGACCAAAAAAGTTTCTCTGTAACTGTTTACCTTCAGATTTTGACAGGTGATTGATATATGGTGTAAACATCACAATACGGAGCCCACCAGCTGCTCAGACAAAAATGTGTGAAAGGAGGAACACTAAACAGAGTGTCAGAACACCCACTTCCTCCTCCCCGCTCTTTCCCCTCTCCCCCAGCGTCCACTGTCTTTCTCTGTCAGCTGAGATCAGACGTGGTGTCTGACGGACATCACAGACAGGTTGCTGCATGTTTTGGCAGCCACCAGTGACTGTTGTACGACAGAAGCTCGACCTTCGACCCCTGCCTGTCTCCAACAGAGATGTGGCTCCACGTGGTGTGAAAAACCATTTTCTCTTTTCCCAGGCTTCCTCACTCTCTCCAGCTTGGTGCTGTTGGAGAGTTTGTAGGTTAAATACCAAACACAGTTTAATAGGTTTCTAGAATGATCCTCGATTGTGCTGTGTACGTTGTAGGCCAGAGTTTACTTTCACTATCCTCCTACTTTTTGCAGCCTCTTTCTATTTAAAGTACATAAAGCTAATGCTGAGAACATAAAGCTCATTCTGAACAAGTTAATTAAAATGTTATTTTCAGCCCAGTCCCTAGAAGGGAGGACCAACTCCCCATGGCTGGGAAACAACCCCTCAACCCCAGCCCTGGCTGGATAAGTCCAGCAGCCTGTCTGCACTCTGGTCCATCTGGGGTTGAGATGATGTCCTGTCCCAAGTCCTGATTTAGATTTAAAAAAAATAATTCTGTATCTTCTTCGGTTCTGTTTAGAACAAACAGGAATTTTTTTTTTAGTAAAATTATTTTTATTTCATTAAATTTGAACAAATAATAATGATATATATCTTATATACTTAGAAAATTGACTTTTAAATTAGGTTTTTGTGGCTCTTGAACCAAATCAGTTTGACACCACTGGTTAGAATGAACTTTTTTTTATTTTTTTTATTTGCTCAAAATACTTAATAAGACAGTAAAAAAAACATGAAGTAGAGTAAACCGCCCCTGTCTGTTATGGTATGATT